TGTAGAACAATTCTCACTATTTTTTTCCTTCTTTTTATTATTTTTAAAGTTATTTTTAGAGATGAAGTCTTGCTATGTTGCCCAGGCTGGTCTTGAACTCCTGGGCTCAAGCAATCCTCCTCTCTCAGTCTCCCAAAGTGCTGGAATTATAGGTGTGAGCCACCACATCTGGCGTTTTTCTTCTTATAAAAGTAGTAAATATTCATTTTAGATAATTAAAGAAGTCTAGAAAATTCCAGAGGAAAAAAATTTATAATTTCATTATTTGGGTACAACAGCAGTTAAAACTTGGGTGTATATTTTTCTAGAGCATGCAAATACACACTCATGAAAACACATACACAAACATATTAGTATGTGCACACTCATGCTTTAACACATTTAAAATAAGTATTGATTGTTTTCTAGATGAAAGGTTCTATATCTTAGGTTTTATTGTTGCCAGAGCTGAGAAATAATATTTAGGAAATATGATAATGCTTAAGATACTAATAATAGTGTTAGAAGAAAATTTGTTTCCAATTTGGCAGCTAATATAATTCCTCTTTGGGTACCTTATTCCAGAAAGGCATTTGTTTTTTATCCCTAAGCTTTATTACTGCCCTAAACTAAGAAAATAAATCTCTCTCCATCCCTAAAGTAACACACTTATCCTCCAAGCAAACCACTATCAGCTTGTTTAATAAAACAAAACACTGTCTATTACAGTTTTAAAGAGCTATACCTTGGCCTTAAAATCAGATTTGTGCTTGAGTCCTCAGCCTGCCACTTATTAACTTTATGACTTTGGACAAGTCATAGAACTTTTTGGAGTCTCAGTTTCTTCATTTTTGAAATGAAGATAATATCTACCTTGCAGAGTTGCCAGGAGTGTTAATGTGTTTTTTAAAAGCTTCATAAAATGCCTGCCAATATTTGCTTTTGCATTTTTAATTAGCTTTTGTTTTATTATAAAAGTAATATGAGCTTCTTCCACAATTTTTGATCAGTACAGAAGGGTATGCTATGAAAAGTAGAAGTCCCTTCCCTCCAAATGGACCCTGCCCTTTCCCTAAATCAGTCTCACTTTACTGAAGAAAAAAACATAACATTCTCTGAACACATGATTATTAAAAACATTCTAAGGTTTCACGACAGGCAAAAATTCTTGAGATTTTGCATAAATCTCACAGAACAAGTAAGCTAAAATGTTAGCTTTTATTTTTAAGTTCTCCTATTTTCAAACATTTTAAGAAAAAATAGAAAATGGAAATTTTCAAATTAAGACATGAAATAAAGTGATCAGAGGCTAATCATCTCTAATTTAAAACAAACAGTGAGTCTTTCCTTGCAGCACCAGCATGAGAGCAGAGAATGAGCTGTGGAGGCTGGAGTCATGGCAGGATAAGCATCTGGAAAGCGTTTCTGTTCTTTGACTGAATATTCGTTGAAAGAAGTGCAGCTGAAACTATTGGACTGATGCAAAAGTTTGCAGCGTTCTTGCTTGCCCAGTGGAATGCAAATGTCACATGATGGTTGACTGATGTGCATCATTGTAGATTAAAGCATTTAAGTTGTCTTTATCAAAGCCCGGTGGTCTTCCTGCATGTGGAGAATCACTTAGGTCAAAGTGGCCGTCTTTGAAACGACAAACCATTTTCTTGCCGTGCTTTCCCCAAGGCATTCTCCCTGTCCATGGCACAAATGTTTTGAGCTGCCTCTGCTGCCTTTACTCCACTGTTAAACTCAAACAGAAGAATATGCCAGAAGTGTTCATTTTTTTCCTCTTGATGTTCCATCTTCTCTAGCCCGCAAGTAGCACTAACTTTCTTCACATCTGCAAAATGCAAGGTGTATTCACAAGCACAACATTGTCACTCCAAATGACAAATGATAAACAAACTCCCAATACTGTGATGTTGCCATGCCAAAAACAAACACTACAAACATATGTATCAACCTAATATAACCAAGGGAGGCATAATTTTTCCAGAAAAATCTCAAGGAAAATATTGTTAGCACTGTTGAATTATTATCTGTTGAGTTATCATCTCCAAAGAAAAGGGGAGAGAGTCAAACAGGCAGCATGAAAGTTGGAGATAAAGTTCTTCTCCCAGAATTTGGAAGCACCAACATAGTTCTAGACAACAAGAATTATTTTTTATTTAGAGATGGTAACATTCCTAGAAAGTATGTAGGTTGAAATAGATCACTGTTAAAATGGCATTAACATGAAGCAGCCCATTCCATTGAAGTTATGAAATCTTTCATCATGTAAATAATTCCTATGTCTCTCTTTTATAATAAATTAGTGATATCTAATCAAGACTATCATTTGCCAAAAGCTTTGCCTGTATTTAGAGCACTTCTCCCAGATCATTTGATTGACTTCATGAAAGTCAGTATCATTTACAAAATTAGCAACTTTTCTTAGCAGGCGATTTGCTTTGGATTTGTAGTGTAACATAGATAATCTTGTGATTATAATTTGTAATTGACAATAAGTTTTTAAGTCAGTGGTAATGTTATAATTAGTGATAGCTAAACTAATGACATACTAATATCTCTAAAATTTACTTTCACTGTTACTGATCTAAGTATTTCCAAAGAAAAATATGTAAGTGGTTAAAAAATAAAAGACTACCAGTGAACATTTAGTTATAGGCATTTATTGTTTTAAAATTTTTATTATAAAGGTAATATATGCTTATGGAACTGTCAAACAATTAGTAGGTGTATAAAGTAAAAAATGAAATTTCGTTCTTGTGCTATCTCAATCTTATTCCCAAGGAATTACCCCTGGGAACAATCTTGATGTCTTAACTTTCTTAATTCTTACCCATAAGACTTGTAAATACCTAAGCTTAATTGCTTGGTTTTACTCCTTTTCTGATGTAACATTCGTTTTGCTTTGTTTTGCTTGGTGTTGCTTCCTTTCATCCATTCACTCATTCCGTGATTAGGTGTTTTCTGGGTATCTACTCTGGGCCAGGTACTGAGTAAAGAACTGGAGTTTTGTTTTTTTTTTTTGAGTTGGAGTCTCACTCTGTCACCCAGATTGGAGTGCAGTAGCCTCTCCCGGTCACTGCATCCTCGACCTGCTGGGCTCCAGCAATCCTTCCGCCTCAGCCTTCCGAGTAGCTGGAACTACAGGCGTGCGCTACCACACCTGGCTAATTTTTGATTTATTGTAGAGATGAGGTCTCGTCAAGTTGCCTAGGCAAGTCTCGAACCCGCGGGCTCAGGCAATTCCATTCACCTCGGCCTCCCAAAGTGCTGGGATTACAGGCTGAGCCACCAAGACTGGCCGGAGCTGGAGACTTTTGCAGCATCAGGCCCAGGCCTTGCTCTCATCCCTAACAGGCAAGTATAATGTTGTGTCATAAGTGCTTCATTATAGTCAGTCTTACAGGATGCTGTAGGACGATGAAAGAGTGATACCTAATCCAGGTGATCTGGAGGAAGTGATTCCTAAGTTAAGAACTAAAAACAGTGTAGGCATTAGATAGGTGCAGTGGTCAGGGCTGGGGGACAATAGTGGATTGGGGGGATGATGAGAAGCTGAAATGAATAAGACAGCTGTATAGGAGCTGTGACTGGGGATGTTGGAGAGAATGGGCTTGAACATACAAAGAGGTTGAATCATGCAGGACTTTGTAAGGTGTGCTAAGAAGCATGTACACTGAAGACGGGTGGGACCCACGAAAGAATTGCAAGTAGGAGAGTGACATCGCTATGTCTGCATTTGAGAAGATCCCACCTGCCTGTTGAGGAGAAGGAACTGAAGAAGGTAAACCAGGAGATAGGGGCAATAACAGGTTCTTGTTGCAGTAATCTAAGTAAGAAACTATGGCGGTCTGGATTAAGGTAGTGACACAGGGGATGGAAGAAGTAGACAGATTTCAAGATGTCTTCTTTATGTGAAGATAATTGATACCTGGCAGAGGCCACTGAGAGTGAAGTCATTTAATACAGGGACTTTTTGTTTTTTTTCAAGTAAATAGTGGGCAAAAGTTTTGATTGGAGTTTAGCTTGAAAAACTATACTAAAACTAGTTTCTAAACCCCTATTTTTATATTATGAAAAATTATATTGACTGGGCTCAATGGCTCAGCCTGTAATCCCAGCATTTTGGGAGGCCGAGGCGAGTGGATTGTCTGAGCCCGCAGGTTTGAGACCAGCCTGGGCAACTTGGCAAGACCTTGTCTCTACAATTAAAAAAAAAAAAAAAATTAGCTGGGCATGGTAGTGCGCGCATGTAGTTCTGGCTACTTGGAAGGCTGAGGTAGAAGGATCACCGGAGCCCAGCAGGTCGACGCTGGGGTGACCGTGAATGTGCCACTGCACTACAGCCTGGGCGAGAGTGAGACTCCACTTAAAAAAATTATCATTATTTAGGATATAGTCAGAATTGTGAACTAAGGTTTAAGATGAATGAATCAGAAGTGTGGGGGAATAATTTTTCAACATGAGTTATGGTAATATGATTGTGACATCTTTCACTTCAAGTTTAAGTTTAGCAGCAAGTTCATTTTGAGAAAAATATTTAGTATTTGTCAATTTCCTCAAGAGTCTCTTCCTTCGATGTGCAGATCATGTTCTTTTTGAAGTGCTATAATGTCATTTCTCTTATGAGTGTTTTCTTTTTTCAGCTGTTAATAGTTTAACTAAGCAAGACTATCATTTGCCAAAAGGTTTGACTGTGTTTAGAGCACTTCTCCCAGACCACTTTGACTGACATCATGAAAGTCAGTATCATTTACAAGATTAGCAGTTTGTCTTAGCAGGTGATTTGCTTTGGATTTATAGTGTAACATAGGTAATCTTTGATTACAGTTTGTAATTGGTGATAAGTTTTAAAGTCAGTGGTAATGTTATAAATAGTAAATTTGTTGCTAAATGTTTTTGTCTTATGATGACTTTTGTTTTACTATGCAACTTGTTGCCTACAGGGACTTGAGTAATAAACATCCTGTAATTACCTGCTGCCTACTCACTGGGTTCATGCCCCAACAGGGAAAATGTGGAACAAAGCTCACTTCAGTGGAAAAGAAGATGGGTAAGGTCTTTATTTTCTAGGACTTGTGTACACCAAGGACACAACAGAAGCGAACATGACATAAAGGCTTTCTTCAAATTTCTCTTCCATGCTTCACAGCTTAAGGTATTTTCTCAGTAGTGCTCACATCAAAGGCCACAGGATTTGCTGGAAAGATCTCTGTCACTTTCTGGAAAGAAGCCCGTATCTTATTACTAATAAGAGAGCATTATCTTAACTACCGATGTTTTCCATTGTATTTTTAAAAAGTTTCCCACTTCCTAGATGGCAGCATAGTGTTTTCTCCACCCTGTCTCCAGTCCCTTATGTCCACCCTAACCAAAAAGATCCAGGGAGGTCTTAATTTATGTTATTGTCTTTATTCATCCTCGTGAAGATTTAATTTATAGGGTTTTGTGCATTGATCCTGAATTTATACCATCATTAAAATCTTTTGATCGATGGCTTATTGATTGAATAGCCAACTGAGTATCTAACTCCCTCCCTTCCTCCTTTTATTCCCAGTTTTTCTTTCATAAACATGTAACGCCAGACACTCTGTGGAGTGCTGGGGCTCTAACAGAGATATCATCCCAATACAAGGGGAAGTATCATGGAGAGGGTGACTGGATCTGATGTATGTCGACTGAGAATCTTTTCCTGGCTTGCTTTGCTCCTGGATCTTTCCTTTCTTCTCACCCATTTCCATTTCTTTAGAGAAGCAATTCAGCTCTAACTTGGAAGCTCCAGTCTTGCATCCTCACACCCAACACTTAACAACACGATTCCCAAGTAGGTAAAACAAAACCAAGCATTGCACTATAGACTGAAGATATCCAACAAAAGATGCTTCGGGTTGCAACCATGGTTCTAGTACCTTCTCTGCATTCATTCATTCACTGATATTATGTATTCACTGATATTACATATTGGTGTCACTTCCCATAAGAGCAGAGCCTGAAACAGGTTTGAGTACAGAAAGTTTAACTGGAGGGTTATCTTAGGAAGCAGGAGAGGAGAGAGTCTGGGAAAGAGAAAAAGTCAAGAAAGATACAGTTTTGAGCTGGTTCTGGCTGTGAACAACTGGGGCTCAATCCTGGGGGAACCCCCTGAGGGACTGTGTAGAATGACCCTTGGGGTTGTCTTTCTGAAGGAAGGAAGGGTGGGATGTCTATCCACCAACTCCTATCCCCTTCTGATTGAGGATTGTGCTCAGGGACAGTCACACCACTGTCTTACCTGAGGTTGAACCAGCTCCTGCCAAAGGGAATCTGTCTGTAGGCACAGGAGCTGTCCACCACAACTGCGACTGAAATCAGGGAGGAGCTGAGGGGATGCAGCCTGCGGCACCAAGAGAGGCAGCATTTATCACATTTGTGTTGTAATCTTTTGTTTTTGCTTGGGATCTCTCATCGAATAATGAATTTAACAAGGACAAGGACAATGTTTTCATCTTTGTTTCTCCAGTGTCCAGCACAGAGCTAGACTCATGAGAACCACAGAGGTTTCATTTGCTGAATGAATGAACTAACAAAAGAACAATGTAGTGAAATCAGAAGCCTGAGTTCTAGTCCTTGCTGGGTCACAAATTTCTGTGTAACATTGAATATGTCAAAAATCTTGCTTACAGGGGACTGGTTACTTGTTAACTTACAAATTCCTATTAAAAAATATAAACATCTAAGCACTATGGTAAAAGGAGATAATTCTCTGTCAGTGATGGACCTTAGAATTAAATATCATGGAACTTGAGTTCTACTGTCTGGCTCTCC